TCCAAGCTTCTCAACCACTTTGATCTGGACAGGGTCACTGTGTCTGAAACCTATACCAAGGGGGCCTTCACAATGACAGCAAATGCCCTTGTGGACAAGTTCAAACCATGTCCCACATTGTTGACTCATGTCGATTTACTCTGCTACCTGGTGGCCTTCAAGCTCTTCACACTGGTGATGAAAGCACCTTAAGAGGGCTGAAACAGTATGCCAAATAAATTCCAAGCTGCTAGTTTTGCCCTTATTACAGAAAACCCACAAACAGCCTTTCCTTTAGGGGCACAACCTCAAAAGTGTATTAAAAAAAAAAAAGACTTATTTTGCATTGATGGCTGTTGGTGCATGTTCTCAAGCCTGGGTATTTAGGGCGCACAGATAAAAAGAGCTGGATTTTTAGGGGTGCTGAGCACTAGCTGCTTCTCTGGACTTGTAAGCGTTCAGCATTACTTTCTATTTCAGTGCCTCAATTTGGGGTTAAGAGCTCATTTTAGGCCCCCAGATTACAAGTTACGCCTATTCTTTCATTTATTTCGTTCTGCCTAGTACGGTAGTCCTAGGCCTTATGGGACACAAACCATCCACTCTCACAAGGCAACCACCTCTACATGTCTTATTCACTTAGAGGAAAAAACGTTTCAGAAATAAGCAAGCTGAACATGCAAATGCCACTTTCAGGTTTCATGTGTACATTTTAGGCACATATGTGCACATACAGTACCTGTTAGAACTGCTGAAAAAGAAAATACCATTTTAGAGAAAAGTTTGTTTTCTCAAAATATTGCATTTACTGGTAAAAAAAAAAATATGGCTAAATTCATTATTAAATAGCTCATGCAGTGCTTTAAACATAAGTCTTTTGAAATTAAAAGGAAAGACGATCTTCTGATTAAAGGAGACACCATCAATGCAAATCTGGCCCAACTGTTGATTTTGTAAAAAAATAAGCTTTCATAGAACACAAGAGCAGTATAAGCGTTCCCATTTTTAATTACTAATGGAAACAGTTGTTTTGAAGCTCTCTCCCTCTCCAGCATTTGCAATTCAAACACTGCAGCACTGAGATCCTTAAAGGGAACCTGATTCCTTTACTTTGAGCACCAAGCTGAAAGAGCAAGTAAACTGTATTTAAAAAATTCTTCCAATTTTGACAATGTAATGTGTCATCAGCAAAGACACAGGTAGAAAAGTTTATTTTCATTAGTATTGGTTTAGTCTGATGCTGTTCTTTTTAAGGGAAATGACAAGTAGCGAGGTGATTCAGAATGAAATCCTAGCCCCTTGTGAAGTCAGTGATTTCTATTCCTGGCTTTAAAGTTTCCTGCATCTCCCCAGGGGAAAAAACCCTTAAATCTGCCAACCTCAGTTTTCTTATCTGAGGAGAGGAAGCAGAGAGGCTTAGTTCTTGTGTGGAAAGAATTAAAATGTAGCTGTAAGCATTTACCCTATAGACTGGACACGTACAAAACAAAAGGGATGCTAATGAACTTAGTGCTCCGGCCCTCAGCCTACCTGTTTCACAACAGTCTGAAGAAAGGTGGGCTTTGCAGCATATTCAAAATATTAACAAATCCAAACTCTGATAAGCCCAGGGGAAACAAAGCTGCAAGCCAAGGACCCATTACAGCAAATACCTTGCCTCAAGCATGAGTTGCTCTGCAGAGGAAAACTGTAGTACTGTGGCACAAGAAGAGTGACTAAAAATGACCACATTTCTCTTCCAAAATGCCAGCAAATAAAACTAGGTTATGGAAGTCCAGCAAGATCTTCATAAATGTCCTACTCTAGCTAGTTAAAACAAGTCCATGCGCTTTCCAAATTCTTCAGGGCAGGAACACGCTCAGTTACATGTTTGTACAGCATTTTGTACAATGATGCCCTTGATCTAGGATTGGAACCCTAGGCACTACTGCAATACAAATCATTAATATTACTTTAAACACAGCTTTATTCCAAATAAGCTACAAACAAAAAACAAACAAAAAAAAACAAAACAAAAAACAAAAACCCAAACCACCCAAGGGTAAAAACCATTTCAAAATTATTGCTTAGAAACAGGAAAGTCATAAAAATAAATCTGCTCACAGTGCAAGTGTACCTTACTAAGAACGGCACTATCATTTAGAAGTGTCAGAACAGAACGAGCCATTGCATTTCACCCTATTCATCTTCTAAACTGCAAAAATACTGCCACTCTGTGGACTAAAACCAAGTATATCAACTGAAAGCCAGTGCATTCCATACAGAATTAATAACAACTTTATTTTCATGAAAATGTGTTTTTTTTACCCCGTTAATATAACAAACTGTTCAAATACATGAATTCCACTGTCATTTTGTCTGCAAAAGAAGTAAAACATCTTGCTTCTGAAAGATCAACATCTACATGAAGGCACTATATGTGTAAAGCTTTCCAAATTACAGGAAAAATTAATAGAGACTAATTCAGCTCTCAGTACAGAAACTGTTAACTAGAACAATCACTCAATTCAGAGACAGATTATTATCTAAGTGCACAGAACAACCCATGCCGTCCTAGGAAAGGCTTGATCAAACAGCATCCACACACAAGATGGGAACTGCAAGTGGCACATGCTTATATGGACGGCGTGACACTTCCCATCCATTGGAGTTCATTTGTATTTGTAAAATCCTTCTCCAGTCTTCTTACCCAGCTTCTTCTCCTCTACCAGTTTGTTCAGCAGTGGGCTGGGAGCAAAAAGAGGATTGTCTGGCTCTGACATATACCACCCTAGTGGGAGAGAGGATGGATGAAGATTAGGGGTGTTTCTTATTATTTGCAAAATATGGTTTGACAGAATGTCAGGGGTACAACGTACTCCTTCCATGGAGCAGAGATCAACTAGGGCCAACCCCAGCAATTAGTTACACAGGGCGTGTTTACATGGCAGCCGATGGTGAAGTAGCGGCGTGTTATGTTGCCATACGGTGTGCTACAGCAACATAGCAATCATGTGTCTACATGTGCTCGCCAGCTATGTCGTCATAGTGGCACACTCCCCGGGTATAGTGTGCTGCTACATCACCATAGCGGCAAAATCTACATGTGCACAGTGCAATAACTACCCATATTGCGCTGCGCTTTAGTACTTCCAAAAAGAAATACTATAGCACAACATCGTAGCAATGTCGCTGTATGGCACAGTGTAAACACGCCCACAGTGTATTATACACAACACCGAAGGTGTTTACCCAGTGCTCCCTAAACAGTTGAAACACCAAGGAGTCTTCATAACACAAAGTAGTTAATACACGGGGATGAGAAAGGCAAGAGTGAAAGCAACAGTCGCAATTAGAGCACTTAACCTTGAACCAAAGTTTCGACTAGAGGCAAGGCAATTCACTGGAGTCTACTTTCTGAAAGGAAGTTTAATCTGAGGCAGACCCTTTCAAAACATCAAATGAACATGTCCAAGCCATTTAAATTCTTGTCCTCAGACAATTTATCATTATTTATTTCTCCTTCCATTAATGCAGCCCCCTATTTCTGATGAGAAAAGACAAGTCCAGGACTAACTCAGTATTCAAATATATATCAACAAAAGAGAAAGGAAAGGCTCCTCTGTCCTAGAAATCTGCCATGTACTTGAGAGCAGGTGTCATGAAAGATATTCCTTATCTAAGCCCCTGCTACCCAAAAGCTGAAGACAAGGTATATAACCTTCCAGATCCCACAGAGATCACCTTGACAAAGAGTCTAATTTGAGACGGACCGCAAAGGTCACCTCTGTTTCCCTTATATGGTACCAGGATGTGTGTAAACTAAGGATTTTGACCCCTTTTAAGGTTTCATTATTTTTCCCCTCCCCAATCTTTTCACCTCCCTACTAGGATGGTGCTCACCTTCAAATGAAGAGGACACACTCAGTTTCACAGTAAATGTGCAAGTTCCCTTGTATGACTGCCTCCAGTTAATACAAACCTGCATTCAGAACACGTAGGTCCCTGCCACGCTGCAATTCCTGTCACATCTCTCTTTGAACCTCATACCCGCTTTATACTTTTCATTTACTTCAAGAACTGCCACCACCATTTTCTGGTCACTTTAGCCCTCAAGAGCTACTGACTTTCTTTTATGTAGAGTGCAATCCATTTCCCTAATTGGTACCTGACACGAGTTGCAGTTACTGTATCCATTCTAAGGAGGTGGGTTTCTCTCTTCCAAATAACACATACAAACCATTTGGCAAGGCTTCTCTGACTGCTTGGGCCAGAAGATTTCTTATTTCACTTCATATGTACGTATACCATTCTCCAAGGAAATTTTAGTAAAGCACAAGAAAACCAGAAGTTTGGGAGGAGTTTAATAGTAAGAGACACTATTTCTCCTTGTGTTCTTGATGGAGGAAAGGAACCAGTTTAACAGATCATCTTCTTTTCCTGTTTCTGTCAACTCAAGAACACATTGTGGCCTGATCGCCACTAGAAATTCAGTACCTTTATGCCAGCAATGATCTATAATTGTGCAGCTACTGCCATGGTAGAAGTGACACTAATTACTAGGGCTCAGGTAACTGTACTAAGTCATGAAAATCTACTCAAAGCCTGAGCCTTGGCAACATTAGCAACTTGATAGCAATGCTGCTGCACCACTGGTGGCCACTGCTACAGGAAACCAATACACCAAAAGGGAGCCTAAAAGCAGCCACTTGGCAAACTCCTTCCCTGTATCTTACATACCTGACTTTGAAAACACTGAGGTGTGTTGTTCCTGAAGCTGACTGATCAACCAGGACTTTCAGGGTTTTTTTTCCTTAATCCTTAAATGACAAAGTCACTTAAGCTCATCTTAAAATAACTTGAGTCAGACTCGGGTGCCCACATCCACTTACAATTTAGGTATGAAAGAAGAAAAACATATGCAGTACCATCTATAATGTATTTACTGGTATCCAACCCAACATAGTCCAGCAGTTCAAATGGACCCATGGGATAGCCAGCCCCAAGTTTCATAGCAGTATCGATATCTTCCTTTGATGCATCGCCTAGAAAAAAGATTGACAGTTTGATGAACAGAGAAGATTCTGCATCTACTTGCCATCACTTATAAATAATTAACACAGTGCTATTTCATGCTGTGCAGCTCTTCACAGAAGTCTTTGCACGTACTACATCCACGAAAACAGGGGTTCATAATGGATTTGCTGTATGCTCACTTCAATACTGTACTTGTGCGGTTATCAGCAGAAATAAGCTTGTAAATACTGAATGGTATAGAAAATAGCACTGACTATCATCCTAACCATTCTCAAGGACAGATTGAGGCCAAATTCATGGACCCACACATTAGACCTATGAGAAAATTCCAGGAGCCAATTAAAATTCACAGATCCATGGGAGGTCACATGCTAAAATATGGAGACTCAGTAAGCAGAGCAGGCTCAGACAGGTGACTATAAAATAAAGAGTACAAAGCTAAGCCTTTCCCACAGCAGTCTGTGGGTCCATTTCTCATTTTTACTGACTTTCTCTGTTGCATTACCTGTTTCAATAGAGGCTACTGTGCTGCAGATGGAGGGAGGGCTGTGATACAAAAGATTACATCCGCCAGAGTAAGCTGGCAAGACAAGAGGCAGTGGCAGTCATGGCAAAAAAAGCAGAGGGTCGAACATAGGTAACTTAATCTATTCAAGATTACAGGTAAGGAAAAAGGACAATTCAGCCTCTCAGCCAGGAGAATTTTAAAGTTAAGACCAGGGAGAATTATTGCAGTCTGAAGGGGAGTTCGAAAGAGGATGGAGCTAGCCTGTTGTCAGTGGTGGCAGATAACAGAACAAGGAGCAACGGTCTCAAGTTGCAGCAAGGGAAGTTTAGGTTAGATATTAGGAACAATTTTCCACTAGGAGGGTAGTAAAACACTGGAACAGGTTACCCAAAGAGAGTGTGGAATCTCCATCCTTGGAGGTTTTTTAAGGCCTGGCTAGACAAAGCTTGGCTGGGATGATCTAGTTGGGGATGGTCCTGCTTTGAGCAGGGGGTTGAACTAGATTAACAGAAGTTCAGGGCTGGAAGGGACCTCATGAAATCATTGGGTCCAGCCCTCCTGAGATGACCACCTGAGGTCCCTTCCAGCTCTATGATTGTAATGAGAAGAGAAGGGGTGTCTGACAGCAAACTTCTTTTCCCAGTTGCATGAGGTAAGTGGAACACACAGTTAAAGTTCATTTATTAATATAGGATACAAAGAGACATTGTGGGCCAGTGAATTCAGTCCCCTGCTATCACAGAAAAGCATGTCAGATAATCCTTTTAATAAATTGCTCAGTCTTGCAAACAAGTTACAAATAACTGAGCAAAATCTGTTCAGAGAAGGTTTTATAAAAGCAAGCAAGCATGCAAACAAAAAAAATCCAAAAGAAAACCCCAAGCTTGTTCTGCTATTATTGTATGCATTTGGGGCTTTTTTAAAAGAAAGTATGTTAATTAAAATGCCAAGGTTGCGAGACATGAGGCATTTGATATATAGCTTTATAGTGTGAATCCAAGAAAAATACCTCATGTGGTGTCAAAAGAGGAAAGCAGAACAGAACTCATGGTGCTCAGTTCAGGTCCCAGAGGACTGGAAAAGGGCCAATGTGGTCCCTATTTTCAAGAAGGGGAGGAAGGAGTTTCTGGGTAATTATAGACCAATTAGTCTCACCTCTATCCTTGGGAAAACCTTTGAAAAAGTTATCAAGGATCACATTTGTGAGAGCCCAGCAGGAAAAATAATGCTGAAGGGCAAGCATCACAGGTTCATAGCAGGTAGATCCTGCCTGATTAACCTCGTTTCTTTTTATGACCGGGTCACAAAATGCTTAGATGCAGAAGCTGAAGCAGATATCATCTACTTAGATTTTATGAAGGCCTTCGATATGATATCTCATCCTATTCTCAAACAAACTGAGCAGCTGTGATATAGATGATTACACGGTCAGGTGGGTGGCAAATTGGTTAAGGGTTGCACCAAGTGTGGTGGTGGACAGGTTAGTATCAACCTGGAAAGATGTGGGCAGTGGGGTCCCCCAAGGCTTGGTCCTTGGACCTGTGCTATTCAAGGTCTTCATCAGCGATTTAGATAAGGGCGTGTAGAGCACTCTGTCCAAATTCACAGACGACACAAAATGATGGGGTAAAGTTAACACACTAGTGGAAGGGATTGAATCCAGGCAAACCTGGACAGGTTGGAAAAGTGGGCAGAAAAGAATAGGATGCAGTTCAACAAAGACAAGTGCAAAGTGATACATCTAGGGAGAAGGAATCACCAACACACCTATAGGCTAGGGGATGACCTCAACAGCACAGCTGCAGAAAGGGATCTGAGTCACAGTTGACTCCAAGATGAATATGTGATTAAGTAATCAGTAAAGCTAACCACACTCTGTCATGCATTAGCAGGTGCATCATGAACAGGTCCAGGGAAGTGATACTTCCCCTCTATGGAGCATTGGTCAGGCCACAGTTGGAGTACTGCATCCAGTTCTGGGCACCACACTTCAAGAGGGATGTGGATAACTGTGAGAGGGTCCACAGGAAGACCACTCATATGGTTAGGGGCCTGCAGGTAAGGCCTTATGAGGAGAGATTGAGGGACCTGGATCTCTTCAGCCTCTGCAAGAAAAGGCTGAGACGGGATCTTGTGGCCATTTACAAATGAATCGGGGTGGGGGGCAGCAAGAAATAGGAAACACTCTGGAATAACCAGGAGCAACAGCCACAAACTGACAGAGAGCAGATTTAGGTTAGACATCAGAAAGAACTTCTTTATGGTAAGGGTTGCCAGAATCTGGAATGGGCTTCCAAGGGAGGTGGTGCTCTTCCCTACCTTGGGGGTCTTTTAAGAGGAGACTGGACAAGCACCTGGCTTGGGTTATATGACCCCAGTGCTCTCTTTGCTGCCCAGGGCAGGGGGTCGGACTTGATGATCTATTGAGGTCCCTTCCAACCCTAACAACTATGAAACTATGAGAATAAGTGGGCCAACAACAATAATAATGTCCATTGGGATAGCCAACAAGGACTCTGCCTGAATTCAATGGGAACAAAACATAAAGGTCCTGATCTTGTGAAATGCAATGTGCCCTATACTCCCACTGAGGCTGATGGGAATTTGGAGTGCTCTGCAGCCTGTAGGTTTTGTTCTTACTCATTCATTCCAACTGTACAATGCTCTGTAATAATCAAGTTGAAAAGTTTGGGATTAGTGTCTGACTTCTGAAATAGGGTAAGACTAACCTGTAGGTTTCACAAAGAGAAAGTGAAATTTTGGCAGCTGCTTAATTTCAACCCAAATTCCATTCTCTCGACTGAACATAAAAGGAAATGGCTGAAGCTGATGAAATTACTTCTACATAGATTAGCATGCTCATTTCCTTTGTTCTCTTAGTCATTTTACTACTTGACCACATACAACAATGTAAGGTTCATAACTGCAGGAGTACTCCCTGTCCTATGAATGAACTAAATAAATTAGTACTATGATTAGAAGGGTAACAGTGGGCGGGTCTACACAAGACACTAACTGTGCAGTAGCCTAATACTATGGCACAGTAGCATGCAGGGAAAAAAACATGCTAAAACGCTACTGTGCCATAGCATTAGGCTACCGACAGACTTCTACATGAGCCAGCCTAATTTACCGGAGTTCTTGGTTTTTCAGTACAAAGACTGCCACCTAAAATGTTCATAATAAAGCACCTATTTAAATAATTGTTTACATTGTCTCATTAGTGGAATTAATCCTATGCAAAACTAGAAATGGGTCAGGGTCTTTAAATCAATGAGTACTCTAAATGATTTAGGAATACAAGGATTGACCCTTTTCATGCTTAATATAGTCAGGAACACACCCTAGATTCTCCACTAAGCTGAGGATCACCACAAAGGTTATGATATGATTAAATATTTAATATGCGGCTACAGAAAATCTGAATCAAATGATGGCATGATGTCAACCAACTTCTTAAACTGACTTTTAAAACAACTAAAATCCATTAATAAATGTTAGCGAGCCTAGGCAATTTGTAATCTTCAATTAAAAAAAGGCCAAACAGAAGAGAGCTGAAATCAAAATACTGCTGCTTTAACAAAGCAGAGCAGATTTTAATATACCTTGTGTGTCATTTTTTCTCTTTAAATCTAAAATATCTGTCTCCTGAAGTGTATGTGTGTGTATATATATATATATCATTTAAGAATGGCATCTCCTTAACACACAAGAACACCCACATACTGTATTCCAAATTGTGATATTTTAGCAGAAGAAAAAGTCCCCCCTCACCCAATCCTCTGCCTTTCAAGTCACTTTAATTTGCTCTATTCTCCCTTTGAGATGTAATTAGGTACATTTGTTGATGGATAAACAAGTAGTGTTGATTTAAATGCTTCCTGCAGATCAAACCATCACTTCCATAAACTATAAAAGGGGATTTTTAATATTTAAAGCATATTTGCTGCAATCCTGATAATGGAGTGCTTTCATCTGTGAGGAAATGGTGCTTTCAAAAACAAAACATTTGAAACGATATTTTTAATAACATGAAGCTATGAACAGAATGCCAGAAATAAGAACAATTACCCTCACTAACTTGCAATTTATCCATACACATTGCTAGCTTTTTTCTCTTAAAAAAGAAAGAAGAAAAATCAATTTATGTTTTTAAAGTTAACTGGGTCTGACTCTGGAAATAAATTTTTCCTCTTACCCCCCGAATCCAGTTACAAAACGACCAGCCCTACCACAGAAGTTCCCAAAGCACCAAGGCTAGGGGATGGGGTAGAAAAGCAGCTGGAAGGGTTTCTAGCCCAATAACCTCTCCCCATCACTTCTACACCTTCAGCACATCCTGAACTCCAAAAGTGCTACAAGCAATTAGAATTGATAACTTGGCATCAAAGATCACTTAGCCTTTAGAAATGAGGATAGGAAGTCCTTTCAGCTGCATTTATTGGCTAATACTTGACATGATCCCAAGCCCCTTTTTATCACTACACCAATACTTAAGAAAGCAAAGGCCTGTAAGAATCCCAGCACGTCTAGCAGAGTAACATTTCAACTAGATGAAGTAAATGCCACTGACAAATACCTCTCTCATAAAGCCGGACTGCTTCCATCAGGTATGGCACAAGGAGACGGTTTACAATAAATCCAGGAGTATCCTGTAAGAAAAATAGAGATCTAAGAAAGACAGGCAAGGATTTTTGTGAGTAATATCCTTTGTTGGAGCAACTACATAGTTGGGAGAGATTCACATAGGTTTTTGGGCACAAGGTGCCCTTATTCAGGTCTGAGAAGGAAGCTGACGCAGCTTGAGCTGAATAATAGATAGAAAAATGGCCTGCATAAAAGTCCATATGTAAATAAAAACAGTCTGCTTAGAAAAGCAGAGCTGTAAAATAGGAGGAGAGACAGAAAAATTCTAAATAAGTCATCTGTACCAGCAAAATTGTACTGCAAATTTAACAGAATAGAGATGCAAGTTTCACTTTGTTCTGGACGGCCCTTTTTCTCCCTGTGTGATTTACTCCACTGTTTTTGTGAAATGTGGAGCAGCGAGCAGGCATGACTGACGAACATAAAGCTGCCTCACCCCAGCCCTTCAGTCATCTTAAACAATGCAATTTTGCTTCTTAGAAAATATCTACCATTTAGAAAAATTCTGCCAATACTAATTTGGGGGTTTTTAGGAAGAGAAATTCTTCCTATTATATTTCTTACTAGAGACGTGCCTGCTCTTGCTATTTATTCAAATTTCTAGGACAGCATAATCACTTCAACAGTGAACACCAATGCCACAAGCATATGATGGCAATCTGGGATGAGGAAGGCACCAGAAGCTAGTTAACTCCTATGCAATAATGATCTTGCTTTAATGTAAGCTTCTATAATAATCAAAAATGCAGACACAAGATCAGGAATACTGATAAGAAAGAGAACATAGAAAAAATATGGAGTACTACAAATCCTAGGCTTAAATATGCTGCCACCATTCTCACAAAGTTATATTTAATACCACACCTATCTAATCTGATAGTACTCTGCAGAACTCAAAGCGTTTTCCAAAGAGTAGTGAACACAGTAGAACCTGGATTTTTGATGTCTAGGTGGCTTGCAACCTGCTTAGTTTGTGGTGGGTTGCTGAATTAAGAATAAACTACTCAGATGCCTGCTACAGCTTTTCCTTCAAAGGGTGCTGCTTCGCCAATCAGCTGGAGCACAGCCACAGTCTGCACAATTAATCGGAGAAGTGGTGCCCTTTGAAATAAGAGCCACAGCAAACAACTGGTACATTTGCACAGCCCCATGCAGCTGTTTGCTGCAGCTATATATATCTCTGGCTAGACTGACAACTATACTGTATTGTACTACAATCTGATTTTGTGGCTGAGGAAAATTAAATCATAGAGGGGTGAAGCAACTGGCCTAAGGTCATACTTCCAGAGGTCTTTGTCCATGGAACACAAAGTGTTTTATAAACAATGTAGATAGAGAAGGCATATTCAGCAAGGATTATCCACACTTGAGAGTGGAAAACTGAAACAGATTTTAAAACATGCCACGACTGCAAAGCGATTCTGCGGTACAGATGGAAATAGCATATGAAGTCCTGAAAGCCTGACTACCATTAACTACAAGACAATGATTACCCCCAACCTCCTGGCCCCCAGAAGTGCTCTATAGCAGCAGTTCCCAAACTGTGGGTCACAACCCCAAACAGGGTCACAACATCAGCAGATGGGCTCACAATAAATATGCCCTCTATTTCTGCACCCACAGTGGGGTACAGCTGGGCCAGACCAACTCCAGGCAGGAGCCGCCACTGCAGCCCAGCGGGTGGGACCCACTGTGGAAGGGAGTGCTGCACCACCATGGCCACCAAGGTGAGGCACGGGAGCAGCTGCAGCAGCGCAGAGTTGTGCCCACGCTGTGGTGGGTGAGCAGGGGTAACCTCAGCTTGGCAACCATGGTTGCACAGCGTAGTGCTCCCTCCCTCCTTTGCCAGGTCCTGGCCACTGGGTTGTAGAGTCCCTGGGTGGGGGGATGGCAGCAGGGCAGGGAGCCCCAAGCCTGCAGCAGGCGGTACTGCATCTCCACCCCCTTCCCAGGCTCTGCTCCGGCTGTGCTGCCCGCAGGGGAGGGGATTGGGCAGGGTTGGGGGGTGGGCACTGGGCTCTGCACTCTGCTCTGACTGCAACAGCCACTCTCTCCCGCCAACAGCTTTGGGTGCTGCTGGGTTGGGGCAGGGGGGGCACTGGCAGGGCCAGGGGGCTGTGGGTGGGGAGTGAGGGGCACATGGGGTTGTGCGGTGCTGTGGGTTGGGAATGAGGGGCTATGCTGAGGAAAGGGGGTCATAAATGGGGTCACACTGAGGAACACTTTGGGAAGCACTGTCCTAGAGGCAAGGGACAAAATCTGTGGCAAGAAGCAATGACGACTAATACTGGTCTTACTCCTGTAGAAGAGAACCAAACTGCAACACAGCACACAGCCTGGTTGTGCCTCAAGGTTTAGAAGAAAGGAAGCCTGGATTCCATACGAAGGGCTTTCTGCTCCTTTGGAGAGACTAGTACTGGAGTGGATTGTGGCAGCAAATGATAATCTCTGACCTGCACTTAGTTTGCCATTTTCCAAAAGACAGCCAAAGCCATTCCATTCAAAGGAGAATATGACAGATTTGGAGCCTCTCTATCTTCCACTGATTTCTTTTTTAATAAAGCAAAATGTTCCCTTCAATAGGACTGTTTCATGGGAAAGCACAATCTGGGCCAGAAGCAGAGCAGGAAATTCTCCCTGTGTTCATATGCTGTAAGTTTATGTGAAAACACACGACCTGAATAATGAAGAGTTTTCATAGTGAGCACACTTGAACTCTTCTGATCATTGCACACCACTCCTCCTGCTGGATCTACTTGCCTTGCAAGATACCGCAGTCTTTCCCAGTGCTTTGGTGAAATCCACAAGTGACTCAAAAGTCTTTTGGCTGGTCATTGGTGTCTTGACAATCTAACAAAAGAACCAACATATTCAGCTAGAACGTCAGATTCTGTCACCTCCTGCTGTACCAGTGATTAGACTGACAATTCAGGATGTTCTCTGGAAATCTCACTAATTGCTATGTTGCCAAGAACAGTCACACTAAACTAATTAGTGATACATGGAATAAACACGAAATCCTAATTTAAAGCACACTCCACATCTTGAAATCAAAATGTTCTGGTGAGAGTTAGTCGCTCACCTGGCTTAAAGCATACAGCCCATCCCTTTACAATTCTATTGCAAAGTAAAAACCCTCAGAAATCACAGCCCATGCTATCTTGGGAAACATGCTGACAACATTTGAGAACCACATTTATACATAGCTCTGGATAGAAAGGGTGTAACCCGGTTTCTGTAGCGAGTGTAAACAGGAGGACAGACCCAGATACTGTATTATATCAACACTTGCATTGTAAAAAGCATCCTAATTTAGTAATTTCCATTTTCCAAAACTTTATGACCTCTTTAGAAGCATGAGAGTAAAAAAGGCCCCAAATTATTTTCTTTGGCAGTTTGGTCTTCTCCATATGGAAAACATGGATTTTTCTGAAGACTTCAATGCACCTTGAATTCAGTATGGTATTTGTTTGCTTAAAACTTAGTGTCCCAGCACCAAAAATAATAACTAACATAACTCTGCAAACAAAACCTGTGGATTAGCTTGAGCTCCCAATGCCATAACTTGAGAATTTCTACAGAAGCTGTGAAGACTAAATTACATCATCATGACATGCCATGGCAGTGGAACCCTGTCTCTTAAACAGAGACGACTAACGGTGAGGCCAACAAAAAGATACAGTAAGAACCAAGCACATGAAAAATCGTTTCTAAGCAGTAAAATGGCAAAACGTCTGTTTTGAAGTTAGATCTAAAGTGTCTGGGACTTTCAGATGAAATTGTAGCCATTTCAGGGCAGGTCAAATTTGTTTTTACCTCTCATGACTTTGAAGTCTAAAGCTTGAAGTATTTCACATTGTCAAAGGCTATATTCCCCAACCTTTGGCTCTTCTCTTACGAGGAAGAGAGCATTGGAGACTTAGGCAGATAAGAGATTCAGCAGAAAGTTTTTGCACAGACTACACAGAAACTAGTCCCTCTGAGCAGTCTTAAAGGGGATTTGTAACAGATTTTACTCAGCATCACAAGTCTCTTCAGAGTGTAGTTGTAACCCCTGACTTGGTACAGCATGTCCAGAATTCCAACCGCTTATCCCTAAAGGCTTATTAGTGAGAAGGGGTCAAAATGCACGTCATACTGCAGAATATAAAAAGAGGCCTAAGTAATTTTAGTTTAGTGCTAACACCTACTGCAGTGGCACAAATATGTGCTCTCCAGATACAGTGTCATTTATCCAGAAATTCTGTTCTCAGTTCCCTCCTTTTCTTTCCCAAATAATCTTCAGTTCTAAAATGGCAGATCCGGCAATTCAAGTAGATTTCTGTGTTAGAACTGCAATAGGCTTGTCTCAGGCTTTTGTTCATCTGAGGTAGGGACACTAAATGAAGTTGACCATATGCAGTCATTTAAGGAAAAAGAAATCTTTAAAAATGACAAGATCATCATCTCTGTCTGGACAATAAAGAATCCAAGACACTTTTGAATAAAGCAAGGCTTCCTTACAGGGTCTTTGATCAAAATATGCACACCTTTCGACTACCATATTTACTTAAATACAAAATGACCTCCCTCCCCCCAATTAGATTCTATATATGGATAATGTATATATTTGTTATAATTTTCCAGGTACAGAATCTAATTATTGGATGTTTGCCCTGAATTTTTTCCCTTCCCACTGCTACAGCAGGGAAAATAAATCTGGGGGGGTCACATAGCTCTTTGATCTCTGCTTCCCCTCAACTTTTCCCCTGACAGACCCTTCCCTGTCCCCTTACTGTCAGTCCCTGCTCTCCCTCAACAGGTGGAAGTAAGGAGCAAATTTGAAAACAATAAACTTGAAATTAAACATGGCTGTAGCAATTTGAAAATGGCACCCACTATTTGATGGCCCTGGGAGCATGGGAGAAATGGGGGGGCACAAGCCAGGCCAAAAAGTGTGTCCTCCGACCTCATATCCAGCTCCTTGGGTATGTAAGTGGTAGAGCACACTGCTGGGAGCGTAAGGGCTGCCAGAGAGCAGGGAGTGGTTATGGGTGGGTGCCACTTGCCTGTGGGATATGAGGTTGCCCAGTAGGAAGAGAAGCAATTGCGTACCTCCTGTCACAAGGGCTGGCCACAACGACACTGTGGTGAAGAATCACTGGTATAGAGAAACTCTGTTTGTATATTTGAAGAATGTTGTTTTTGGAAAATTCAGATGGACAGATCATTTCAGAAGGGAATTCCTGGCTTATCCCTATTCCTACTGTGTATGCATCACAGGTAAAAAAAAATTACTTATCACTTGGTTGTTATTTGTTGTTGGAAAGGGAGAAAGACGACAATCAGTTTCATTACAATGCAACAATCATTTTTCACATGCTCTTGTACACTCTCCTACAAGATTCTACTCTGAACAGCAATGCAAATTCACGTTGTATCAAACCAGGCATATATACATGTCCTTACATGAAGGTCAATTACATTATTTTAAAGCCATATTTCACACATTATGAAATTGAGAAAAAAACCTAAACTTGGCATCAGAACTATTTCAAAATCTACAGACAATTCACCTGGATCATTGCAAAAGCATAGCCTGTAAAGAATCCTAAGAATTGGGTTAGGACATTCTGAAGCTCTCCAAAAGGGGAGTTGATGCTTTAGGGGACTGACAAGATTACGAAGCCCTTCACCTCTATAATGTTAATTTCCATCCAAACCAGGCTTGTGGTTAACAACATTTCTCTTCCAGTTGTCTGCATTTATTTCTCCTGCTTCAGCAAGCATGGGTAGTCTCTGTACAGTTCTTATCAGATAGCCTCCCATGTGGCTAAAACCATCATCATAGTCAAAATGTGTACCTGCAGTTTCAGCATAGAGACCAATCAACCTTAGAATCTTAATAGTTAGAGATCAAGGAAAATTTCCTAACTAGTCCTAATTTCCTAACTAACTAGTCCATCATCTGCCTCACCTTCTTATCCTTAGAGATAATGTATCCTGGCCAAAAGGGCTGCATGCTGGGATACATTCTGTAACACTATAATTTTTTTTAGAGTACTGTAAGACACTTACCTCTACAAGCTTCATTACAGGCACTGGATTAAAGAAATGGAGGCCACTAAAGCGGTCCTGCCTGGTAGTAGAGTTGGCCAACTGTGTGATTTGTAAGGATGAAGTATTGCTTGCAAATATGGTATGTCTGTGGGGAAAAAAGCATGGATTGTGTGAATGACAGCTATATTTCTGAGAGCAAAGAGGCCTGTACTCTATACACACTTACTATGGGCAATCTTTTTTTTTGAGTTAGTCTTAGAAGTAAACCCACATTGGGCCTTTTGTTGATTTTCTCCACAATGTATTTCAAAATTCACACCCCTTCCCCCC